CACCACTTCAATCCAGGTTAACCCTCTCAGGCTCAAATTAATTTTTAGTATCAGGAAAAATCTGATATTTGGGGAAAATTATAATATGGGGTAGTAATATACAATCCTGACTTTTTTATCCTTTGTAAACAAAAAAAGTATTTTGCTCTTCTGGCAGGTCATTTGTGTGTAGTCATTCTTGCACAGTCTGCATCGTCCACGTTTATCAGCATGGATGGGAGAAAAGGCTCCTGAGTAAAAAAAGCTCATAAAATATGGATGTGAAGTAAGTAGGTAATTGGAATTTTGCTGTTGCAAATCTGCAACGCCTGAGGGTTAAAAAAGCATTGTAATGCGCATTACTCACATTTGTACCAAGTCAAATATATATATATATATTTTTTTTCCCTGTAATGCCACATTACTGCATTACAGCAAAGAGCAATGCATTACAGTAATTTGTTACTTTTATAACATGTTGCTCCCAACATTGCTGACCTGTTCCCTCTGTTCCCTCTGTCACATCCTCCATGAGACAAAAGTATTCTTGCAGACAGAGTCCATCTCTGTGCTGGTGTTTTGTGAACTGAATGATGACGTGTCTTACTCCGCTGTCCCACTTGGGTCCTGTGTCCACAGTCTCTTCCAGGTTTTGGTCCCACTGTGGGGCGGTCTTTTAGAGGAGGTAGATTACTTCTGCTCTGGTGTCTTCATTCATCTTTTCTTTTATAATTTTTCATTCTGAAATTCCGTCTTCTTTTACAGCAAACACACTCACAGTATTTTTCCTGCAGATCAACATTTTCAGAGTGTACTCGCTCCAGCTTCTCTACAACACTGACTTTGGCTTTGTGACCTCTGACCTCAGCCAAATTGAATTAAACTGTTTTCTTAGACTGACCAGCGTTGCACGGTTCTGTGTTAGTTTTTTTTTGAAAAGGGACAATGCACATTAATCAACATCAAAACAATGTAAATGTGCCCGAGTTAGCTGATGTCAAAAAGGCATCCTAAAAAAAAATACACTTAAAAGTTACACATCAAAAATTACCCAAATGTACAATAAGATTACAAAAATACAATAAAAGTTTTAGTGTTCACACATTTGCGTTTCTAAAAGCAGAGAATGAGGGAGATGTTCTGATGGCTTCAGACACAGAGTTCCACTGATGGGACGATCTGATGAAAGAGAAACACACTGACCAAATCCAGTTTTTCTATGAGGAATAATGCAGTCATCCCTCACTGCTCCTCTGGTCACTCTGCCCTCACTAGATCTGAAATTAACAAAATCATTCAGCGAAGGGGGAGCTGAGCCATGTTTAATCTTGTACATTAGACAGATATTTTTTAACCCTCTCCAGGCAGGTGTTGCAGATTTGCAACAGCTAAATTCCAATTACCTACTTACACCACATCAATATTATATGAGCTTTTTTTACTCAGGAGCCTTTTCTCCCATCCATGCTGAACGTGGATGATGCAGACTGTGCAAGAACGACTACACACAAACGACCTGCCAGAAGAGCAAAATACTTTTGTTGTTTACAAAGGATAAAAAAGTCAGGATTGTATATTACTACCCCATATTATAATTTTCCCCAAATATCAGATTTTTCCTGATACTAAAAATTAATTTGAGCCTGAGAGGTTTACATTTAATAAGATTGCCTCAGGTCATTAATTTGTATTTCTGCAAAATGTGACAATGGTGGTATCTGTAGTGTTTTTAGAGCTTGGTTATAGAGTGATTCAATGGGATTTATTGTTGTGAGTGATGTATTAGAGCAGCTGATGTTACAGTATGTGACATGTGACAGGATAAGGGCAAAGAAGTAAGATTTTGTTGCCTCAATTGATAATGAGTCTCTAATGTAACGGAAATTAGATAAACTGAATTTTATCTTATTGCTAACTTTTTTAATATGTGTTTTGAAAAAGTTTGATGTCAATGTTTTCCATGTTCTTTTCTTGTATGTCAGACATTCTATTCAGTGCATTGATTACAGCAGGAACAGAAGAGCTTAGACTTTCTGCTTCATTTGGTCTTGACATTTTGTGAAAATGTTTGGATTGTGTTTTTCTGATCTCTGCTACACTCAGTCTCCATGAACACGACTCTGGCCATAAGAGAATCAGGGCCAGTTTGGACCAGTGGTTTGTTTTTTGTTTTGTTTTGTTTTTTGGCAGGACATTTGTGTTCAGGTCAACATTACCACTGCTAGTCAAGTTAACTTTTGTGGGAATAAAATGTCAAAATACAACTTTTGGAGTGAATTTCACCAAGAGCTTACAACAATTAAAACCAGTCAGGCCGACATTTTCTGAGGTCAAATTCTGTTCACGTATGGCTCTGTTTGCACAGTAGACTGGAGCAAAGAAAACTAGAGCTAAAGATTAAAAAAAAAAAAAAAGATGTTTTTTATCTTCAATTGAAAGATTTTAAAGTGAAAAAAAAAAATGATAATGGGAAAACTAGCAAAACTCTTCACAAAATGCCCCCCCTGTCTCCCTGTGGGGCCTGTGAGCGGAACATGAGTGGTTTGTGTTGCTCTCTGGGAACATGCTCTGTGGGCTGCTGAGGACTACACTTTCTTTTTATTTACTCACAGATTGTGCTCATTGATCTATATTGCCCTACAAAGAACGCCCTAATATCATGTTTGGTCATGGATGAGTTCATGTCATTATGTTTGTATTTGAGACTCTTTTATCATGTGAATCAATATCCTGAAAAATATTGAGCTCAAAATTGCCCTTTGACCTTATTTGTCAAAGACCAAGTTGCCTAAATTGTAGCTATAAAACTGCACAACCCATGGAAATCTACTATTTCTGTTCAATTGAAGGCGGTTAATAGCGTGACACAACCACTAGATGGAGACAAAATCACGTGTATGTGGTGTGATCATTTCTATGAACTGCACCATAGAATTATATGAACTGTACACAGAACCTGGACCAGCACAAACACAGAACTACACTGTCCTACAAAGGCAAAAGACTTTAACTCTCCAGAGTGAGAAACTGAGAAAAATGACTTCAAAGTTTCTGTTTTGTCCTGACAACAGTAGAATAGTTAGGACTCCCAAAATTTGATAATTAGTTGCTTTAATGAAGAAATATTTGTATGTGAAAAATATTGAGCTCAGAATTGACCTTTGACCTTATTTGTCAGTTCCTTTGTATCATGAACCAAAAATATGTTTTTGTGCAAAGTCAAAAGGCAGAAACAGTGTGTTTGGTTTGATTTAGTTCATAAATATATTTGATTTTAAAATCCAAACTCTGGCCTCCTTCTTTTTGTTATGACCTTGTCACAGGGTCTGAACACATTCAATTATACTTCAATGATCTTTAATGTGAAAGTATTGTGTGTATTTATTTATACTGTACACACTGTACTGCAGAGTCACTTGTGTCAAACTGTTTGACTGTAAGTGTCGCCGCATGATCCTGATCAACACTAAACAGGAAATCCAAAACTCTTCTAGATCATTTCAAACTAACACATGATGACTGGAGCTTGGTGACGGGTTTTTCTTAGAACGGATGGAAGTCTGGAGAAAATCAAGCAAATCATGATCAGTGTTGGGAAGGTGACTTTTAAAATGTATCCCTACAGATTACAGATTACATATCCCAAAATGTAGTTTGTAATGTAATCCATTAAATTACTTAAAGCGAGTAACGTAATACTTTGGATTACATTATGTTGTCATGCTTTTTAAAACTACATGAATGTAACAACCACATCCTGAAAATTCATGTTTGTTCTCTTCAAATTGTTTGTTGAGCCCAAGTCTCCATGAATAAGCAGCTGTTTACTGAAGAGAAGCAAAGACCAGGATCTGAACATAAGATGTTTAGTCCTGGTTTTAGTTCCTAGTTTAGTCCTGGTTTAGTCCTGGTTTTAGACCTGGTTTTAGTCCTGGTTTTAATCCTAGTTTAGTACTAGTTTAGTCCTGATTTTAGTCCTAGTTTAGTCCTGGTTTAGTCCTGGTTTAGTCCTGGTTTAGTCCTGGTTTAGTCCTGGTTTAGTCCTGGTTTAGTCCTGGTTTAGTGTTGGTTTAGACCTCTTTTAGTCCTGGTTTAGTCCTGGTTTAGACCTCTTTTAGTCCTGGTTTAGTCCTGGTTTAGTGCTGGTTTCAGTCCTGGGGTTAGTTGTGGTTTAGAGGCGCACTGGAGGACGGCGGTATCCACACGGCACAGAAGGAGACGTGGGATACAGCTCAAAATATGAAAACAGGAAAATACCACCATATAATCCATTTATTTTAACAATGTAATCCAATTACCACTCACTGAAACAGTAACTGTAACTGAATACAGTTACTCATAATTAGTTTCTGCCTTTGGCCTTTGCATGAAAACTTATTTTTGGTTCATGATACAAAGGCAGAGAACAGGAACTGATAAATAAGGTCAATTTTGAGCTCAATATTTTTCACATACAAATACCTCTTCATTATAGTAACTAATTGTCAAATTTTGAGAGTCCAAACTATTCTACTTTTGTCAGGACAAAACAGAAACTTTGAAGTCATTTTTCTCAGTTTCACACTCGGGAGAGTTAAAGTCTTTTGCCTTTGTAGGACAGTGTAGTTCTATGTTTGTGCTGGTCCAGGTTCTGTGTACAGTTCATATAATTCTATGGTGCAGTTCATAGAAATGATCACGTCATATATACGTGATTTTGTCTCCATCTAGTGGTTGTGTCACGCTATTGACCGCCTTCAACTGAACAGAAATGATAGATTTCCATGGGTTGTGCATTTAGGCAACTTGGTCTTTGAAAAAAATACGGTATGCATTTCTAACATGAGCCTTTGTCATGTTTCTCCTCTGGTCCTTTTGTAAATCTCACAGTGGAAATACGCTCCAACACTGACAGTGCAAACTCATACAATTACTGCAAACGGAATCAAACAGTTTGCGCACTTTGTAGACAGTCCAGAAAGACTCAGGAGAGTCTAATGTAATAAATGCTCAGTGAGCACATGCGCTCGGTGCGCTGCTGTGATTGGCTGAAGCGCGCCTCTGGTTTCCGGGGCCGCTCTGTTTTTATTATTGCTTTATCGTTTCTGTTTGGTGACACTGGATCATCTGCGCTCTGCTCGCGTCATGGCGCTTTTCTGGCTCACCGCAGCGCTGCTCACGGTCCTCCTCAGCCCGGGTAAGTCCAGAGCCCTCCGTCCCCCCCGGGCCCTCGGTCCTCCTCAGCCCGGGTAAACCCAGGACATCCACGGTAATGGGCCCCGGATTAGAATCACCTGACCGGGCTGCGTCCGTCTAAGTCCGGGGAATGCGGACAATGGAGTTAGAGCCAAATGTTAGTGTCTGCGTGTCATCTCGTTTATCTCGTTTTAAACAGGCGTGCTCAGATGTTATTGTCGTAAGAGTCATTCAAAATAGAGCGTCATAAATGCAGCAGCTTCATAAATGCACGAGCCATGACCAGGACAAATCAGACAACTAGAATAGAATAAAGAGAAACCCCAATGACTACATATGATTTATGGTCATTACATTTGACTCGATATTTGTAATCATCAAAAACGCCTAGTCACATGTGTCCTTACAGGAACTGTAGCCTACGCTGTGTCTGTTTTAAAGAAGGGAGTAGCCTACAAACACAGCCTGATGACAGAGACTTCACCTGCAGATAGAGACACATCCAGGTTTGTCTCATTCTCAGTTTATGTTCAGGCCTCATGTGAAGATCTGAACCTCCAGAATTATCTCCCTGAGCTGCAGACGCTGCACTAGCACTGACTCATGTTTGGTGCAGGTGCTGGGGTTTAGGTAGAGACCATTCAGATCAGAGAGAAACATTTTAGGTTTAAACACACTGGATTTCAGCACTAAAACTGGCAACACAAATGAGAAAGCTATAGTGTAAACAAGTGTTCATCATGTCCAGTGGTCTTGTAATTAAGAATAAATTGGCATTACTGTTATTTCCAGTAAGAACTATCTCAGTTGAACATGTTTCCTTCATATCTGGGGACACATGGGTTCTATTTACTGAATTTAAATCAAAATCTTACATATGGTTCTTATTAATTTGCAGATTAAATGATTGTCTTTGTGTGATTGTGTGTGTGTGCGTGTGCGTGTGCGTGTGCGTGTGTGTGTGTGTGTGTGTGTGTGTGTGTCCTTTAGGTTCCTCCAGGATGGTCCCAGGTCTCACAGCCCTCAGACCCAAACACCAGGTCAGGATCATTGTGTGTGTTTTGTGTCACACAGACCATTAGATGTATAAAAAAAAATACAAATCAGTATTTCTGAAATAATGTAAAACAGAAATACCCTGGTCTTAAATCCACTATTTTATCTCAGGTTTACTCATGTAGCCCCACACTGTGAGTGTGAGGGTTAAAGCAGGAGGAGCTGATTTTCACACCGCACAAAGAGGAAATATTCAGTCTCATCTGTAGCTCTCAGACCCATTAGCACATGGCTCATATCCACATGCACCAGTGTGTGAGTGTGTGCACAACTCGAGGACACATCTTTTCAGACAGACATTGGTGTGTGTGTGTTCCTTTTACAATTAGCTATTTGGGAGAAAATACACACACAAACAAAAGCATTTCACCCATTCTTTAGTGCCGCTGAGGCACAGTGTTGCCATAGATACTTTGAAATAGTAATCTGACTACTGACTACTGATTACTTCTTTTAAAAGTAACTTAGTTAAATTGTCTCCAGCACAGAGTTGTACAACCAACCTTTATGTTGCCATCCTCAGCTGAAATAAAATCAAAATAATGTTTGTATTTTCAGCTGCAAAAGGTATAACCTCTCTCCCTCCATTGTTTACATCTGACTCGTGACCAGAGATGATTTATACAATCTTTGGGGTCATACAACCCACTTCGCCAAAAAATAAAAAGAAATAAATAACCTACGTCGCCCTGAAATGCAAAAATAGTAACGCACAATGTATTAGATAAGTAAGTAAGTATAAGTAAGTATTAGATAAACTTACATTTGACTATTAAATTTGGTTTGGAAATAGCACTGTGTTAGACTACTTGTTACTGAAAAAAGTAGACGGACTACAGTAACGTGTTACTAAGTAGCGCGTTAGTGGCATCACTGCTGAGGCAACTGTCAGGAGCAGGAGGCACAGACCCATGAGCAGATCCGAGTCCTGGTCTGGATCTCAGCTGTTCATGTTTTGTGTAGCACAGTCGTCTGAGAGCTGCTCTTGTAGTTTAGACCTTCAAATACAACGTGTGGGATTATTCAAGGAGTTGATGTGAGCCTGTGTGTGTTCAGTCCACAGACATGTGCTCTGAGTGCAGTGGCCTTCTGCTTCTGTCCACCAACATGATCTCCAGCTCCAGCACCAAGGTCAGGAGACACGGAGAGCCTCTTTCTCTCTCTCTCTCTAGGCTGCAGTATATGACTCTCTCTCTTTCTCATTAGAGTGCAGTGTATAACTCTCTCTCTCTCTCTCTCATCAGACGGCGATGTATGACGCCCTGCTCGCTCTCTGTGGGCGGCTCCCTCCTGTCCAGGCCTCAATGTGTCAGAAGCAGGTGGACACTCATCTGGCCTCTGTTCTGCAGCAGAGCCAGAGCCCTGATGTAAGTCCCATTTCAACTCCTCTTTTATTTTCAGCATAATGGATGTGTGAATCCTTCTGTGTGTGTGTGTCTGTGTGTTGTAGAAATCGTGTGGACTCTTCGGCCTGTGTGCTGACACCAAAGAAGTACCTGACCTCAGTGAAAGCAGAAGTGAGAAGGTGAACTGAAACATTCTAAGTTTGGTCACTTCTACAAACTGTTCAAAAAGTGTGAGGGAAAGTTGTACATCTAGGTAAATACTGTGTTATTTTGTGTTGTGTGTTTTTTATACCAGAGGGACATTATGTAAACTTTAACTTTAATGACCTTTTACCCATTTATAAGAGTGGAAAGAGGGAGAATTATGCAACATTGACTTTTAACTGTGTAATAACATTGATCCCTCATCAAAAACATGCTTGAAGAGTTTTAGATATCATTCATGTTTCAATAATCTAGCGATCTCTTGGGCCAGTATGAGCCCATCCCTCTTGTACATGGATCAGTTCACAAGCCTACGTTACAGATAGTCACACATGACAATTTTTAACAAAAACACTGCTAAAAACAAAAATGAAACTTGTTAATATGTTGTGAATACCCCATAGAATTAAAATCTTCCTCTTTAAGTTGTTCTATCAGTGGTTCCCAAAGCGAGGGTCGTAAGATGATTTTCCAGAAATATATTTCACATATACTGTAGCGTCTTACTGTGGGTAATGAATGGACAAAAGTAGTTCACAAGATGTCGTTTACTGTGAGAACTGAATTGGTTACTGTCGGCCTTAACCGCGCCAGTACAAGGTTTGGTTAACAGGACCCACTCAAACTTGGACCACCTTTTATTTTTAACACAGTCATATTATATATACACAGACACACTCCACACTGGTGAATCCATATTTGCGCTTTCACCAGGACTGAGGAGGAGGTGGATTTTGGTGTTTTGGAGTTTGGATCATATTTGTTTGGCCTCAACTTTATGTGGACACTGCAGACTGGATGTGGATTTAATATTACACACAACAAGTCGACTTTGAGACTAAGGCCATGTACTTGATGCATTTCTGAGTTGACTCTCTGGGTGCTGGGTCAGCTCTTCTGTTTCATTGGTAAAGACACACTGCACTGCGCTTCGTTTGGCCACATGTAGCACTGTGCTGTATGTGTGGAAGTATAGATCCATGGTTGTATCCATGTGACTCGTATCTTGTGCACCTGCACTGCTGAGACTAAAGAGATGAACACACCAAAGTGTAAAATACCCACCATCAGATTTGGCTTTATCTAAGAGCATGTGTGTTGGGGGTGTAGCATTTCAGTGTGCTGTTTGAGAACCCCTGTTTTAGACCAGCAAGGACAATGGATAATAAGAATTGTTGATTATACAAATAAATAAATAAATATCAAACAGTAAAATGATGAGGAGGAGAAAGACAACCTTTATGTGTTTGTGTCAGGAGCTTCAAATCTCCATGAAACCCTACCTTCTGTAGGTAGGTATTCATGGAGTTAGAAAAGCACTGGATGTTGGTGTCCTCACACATTTGCTAACCCATCACAAGAACATACAAGAACATTTGATGTTCTTGTGATGTTATGTTCTTATGTTTGCTAAGCCCAGTCTCTTGCTGTGTGCAGGAGCAGTTCAGTCCTGTGTGCACACTGTGTGTGATGGTCGTGAAGAAGCTGGAGGCTCTGCTGCCCAAGAACATGACTGAGGTGAGGGTGTCATTTTGTTAAACCTGGTATGATCACAATATATTGGCTTATCAAAGCCTGTGCTCAGTACTTGGATGGGAGACTGATGGGAATATATGTCACAGTGGGGCCACAGTGTTGTTGTGTCCTTAGGCAAGACACTGCACCCATGTTGCCTAGTGTGAATGTGATGTGTGCATTGATAAGACTTTTATGTTGTGAAATGAAAGTAATGTTACTAAGTGTTGTTAAATGGGATGGACACTAGGGTGGGTGATTTAGTAGTGAGGTACTGTACATGGGTGAAAGCACTGAGGTACTTTTTTAAAGAGGTACTTTTTTCACTTTTGCTTCAGTATCTGTACTTGTATTTAATTTGCCCTGATAAATACATAAAAATTCATCTACAAATGTCAAATACGAGGCAGCTGATATAATACTCGTTGATTTAGTTTCAGTGCTGAAATCCAGTGTGTTTAAACCTATAATGCCTCTCTGATCTGAATGGTCTCTACCTAAACCTGCAGACATGAATTTTAGAAATCAAAATAATTGATATTTTACTTCAAGGTCACCGAAAGAACCTAAATATGAAGTATTAAAGGGTGTGTATGCGTGTGCGTGTGTGCGTGTGTGTGTGTGCACGTGTGTGTGTGTGTGTATGCGTGTGTGTGTGTGCACGTGTGTGTGTGTGTGTGTGTGTGTGTATGCGTGTGTGTGTGTGCGCGTGTGCGTGCGCGCGTGTGTGTGTGTGTATGCGTGTGTGTGTGTGTGTGTGTGTGTGTGCGTGCGTGTGTGTGTATGCATGTGTGTGTGTGCGTGTGTGTGCGTGTCTGTGTGTGTGTCGCAGGACGCCATCCGCAGCCTGCTGGCAGATGTGTGCGCTCTCATGCCCAAGTCCTATGAGCAGCAGTGTGAGGACTTTGTGGACAAGTACGGAGACGACATCGTGGAGTTCCTCCTCTCCTCCGCCGCTCCTCACACCATCTGCACTCTGCTCCACCTGTGCTTGCTCAACGACACGCCGGCACCACGTGAGTCCAACCCCAGTGTGCACACAGGAGAGGGAGCATCCAGAGAGCAGGGTTCTGTGAGCTCAGATGCTCAAAGGAGTTTCTGACTTAAATAGAATTGGTTGTATCATGGTTGGTTAATAGAATTCTGCCCTAGAAGTGACCAAAACCAGTTTAGAAAGCCAACTAAAAGCATCATATTTCCTCTGTTAAGGTGCATTATACCTGGTATTAAGCACTTTCCTGTCTTCATGGAAATGGTATTGCCTTAATTGTCCACAGTATGGCATTAGACTTATGTCTCTGTATAAAGACAAGCAGGTCTTGCTATCAGGTTAAATTACAATTTACAAATCTGGCCTGTGGAGAGGCGAGTGTGCAGTAAGAATGCATGATTTTCATGTATTTTTTCAGTAACAACACCTGCTGATTGAATGAACATGTTTAATGTCACACTGTGAAGCAGGTGTCTGGTGCCTCATCAGAGAAGTGACATGTGCACCTTTAAAGGGCATTTACATACAGCATTTCTGCTCTGTGTTATAATGTTTCCTCATTAAAAACATATCTGGAGTTATTCTGTTTCATTCACACATGTTTAACACAGAAACCCTGCAGATTTAGGCCAAGTTCTTGTCGTAAGAAGTGCTCCACTGTGTTTTTAAACTCCATGCATCTATCACAAGGCTAATATTGAAGGGTTTCTTAAACATGTGTGAATGAAACAAAACACAGCTCCAGGTGAGTATTCACACATCTCGCATGTTTTTCAGGAGGTAACAACATTATAACATGGCTCAAAGTTCACAAGAGTCAGTTTGTGTAATATAGGACCTTTCATGAGATAATTTTCTTTGTAGAAGCCTCATTACCATCAGACTGTGACTCCTGTCGCACCCTGTCAGTCCTGAGTCGGGTTCACCAGGGTCTGAACCAGGATCTGAACCAGACTGAGGCCCAGAGGGAGGCCTTCCTCTGGTCTGTGTGTGACCTGTACCCCCGCGCCATCCCCAAGGTCAGCCCCACAGAGCACTACTCATGTAAAAGTACTGCTACTTTAAAATAAGTAGAAGGGCATAGTAGTATTCATCCAAGAAAAGAGTAGGGGGTAAAAGTATTTGGGGAAAATACTCAAGAGTAACTGTGACAGTAAATGTCTTAATTTAACATCTGGGGTGAAAAAAAGAAAAGGAAACAATATTAAGTAATGCTCAAAATCACAAAAATGAGAATTTTTGAAGGAGTAAAACACAAATGTTCAAATTCTTTCACGTAAAGCCTTTGCCACTTGTAGACTTAAGAAGTACATAAGAGTACTATTACACTGTACATGTATATTACTCAAGTAGGGGTAAAAGTATGTGGCCTGAAAACTATCTTGAGAAGTAAATAATTTGATTAAAAAGTAACATGAGTAAAGTGTTTTTTGTTGCATGTTTTCAGTGTGAAGCTTTCATCAGAGTGTACAGTTCTGAGCTGCTCCGGGTCCTGGGGCCTCAGCAGGACCACTCTGACCCCTGTGAGGTACACGGCCATCATTTTTATCATCTCTAGATCTGTAAAGACCAGACTCTCCACTGACAGTGGCCCCCCAAACAGTGTGCTCAGGGGACCTGACTGTATGGCATGACCTCTTGTGCTGGTTTGGCTCTGGACTGGCCTTGTTGTTTTAAATCCCTATTGTAAAGTTGTTGTTTTTTTTATTTCTGCCTTTTAAACTAACTCTTGGGTCAAGAAATAAACAGGGAAATGTAACCAGGGAGATTTAGAAATGTTTACTGGTTCAGTCCTCTTTTATTTGATGAGAGAACAGTGTTGGTCTGGTGTAAATGTTGTCTGCTCCTCTGGTTCTTCAGAGAGCAGAGCTGTGCGTGTCCAGGAAGGAGACTCCTCTTCTGGGGCAGAGGCGCTGCACGTGGGGCCCCAGCTACTGGTGCAGAGACATGCAGACAGCCCAGGAGTGCGGGGTATGAACAGTTCACTACACTGCTCTCACTGTGTGCACTAGTGTAACACCAGCTCAGTGCTAACAATCTAATCTTACATCCACCATGACACAACAGCACCTTTAATATTATGACACTATTGTGAAAGAAGAACAGGCCTGCAAAATGTTTTCATCTCCTACCGAGTCCATAAATCCTCCATCATTTTGACTGTTGTTATTCCTATTTACATACAAGTTCATGTTAAAACATTGTGTTGAAATTGCATTTTTTCTTAAACTTTCAGGTTGTTCATAATATGATAATATTTTGTAAAAGAAAGAGTCAATTAAAAAAGATTTCTGTAATAGATTTGCATTTCTCTGCACAAATATTTCAATTTATTGCTATTTTTTGGGGTTTATATGCCATGAGTTTTCTGATTTGGCCAATTTGGAATCAAAGTAGGTTGGATATGACCCCCGGACCAAAATGAGTTTGACACCCCTGGTCTAGACACTGGCCTAGATCAATTAACTAGGTTCATTCATCTTTGCCATTTAGCACTGCATTTAAAGTCTTGTATGAGACTGCTGCATACATTTCAAATCTTTCCCCTTATCATCTGGAGACCTCCTCAACCCTGTCACAACCCCCGAGCTGAGAACCACTGCACTGGACTCACTGAGTTCAAGGTGTGCGAGGGTGTGGACACAGAGCACAATACTCATGTGTTCAGACAAGACTCCTTTAGTGGCACCTGTTTCATTTTCTACACCAGCATCAAGCACAGTCACAAACTCTACCAGTGTGTCTCCACCCTGCAGCACTGACGCCATTTTAGGGCACACCTGGGCACACCTGGGCACACCTGGGCACACCTGGGCACACCTACACACAACCCAGATTGGAGAGGTAGCTTCTGATAGACCAAGTTACATTAGAATTAGTTTGGGTTTTTTTAATCTTTAATTTATAGCTTTTCTCTCAAAATGTTCCATTGCCCACTAACACAGTAAAAAACAGTACTTTAGTGTTTAGATTTTGAAGAACTGGTTAAATAGAGGATTTATCTTTAATGTTATATAACTTATTGACTTCCAAACATAACCCTCGTGTGCTTTGTCTTTGCAGAACCAGGCCTTCTGTAAGAAATTTGTTTGGAAGTAGATCACCTGCTGTTCACGCCCTGTTACTGCTTCTCCTGACTATTGCACTGAAGGTTCTGCTGATTTTGTTTTATAATGACAAATATTCACATCATGTCTGTTTTACTGTGTGTGCTTCAGCCTACAACAGTGCTGTCACTAGTCAAATGAATGTCACTGCATGTTCTCTCTGTTACAATTACACACCACTAATACGCTGGGCTCACTGTGTACAGCTTGAAGATCAAATTTTACATTTTGGGGGAAGGCTTATTTATTTACAGCCAGTAACTTTTGAAAATCTGAATAAGAATAATGCAAAATAACAAAACAATACACAAACCTGATTAGGGAGTGGGTCTATAGACTTCACATATTCAACTTCTCCTTTTCAAATGACAAAAATGTGCTGAAAGAGGACACTTTGACCTTAATTGCCTTTTTCCTGACAAAGATGCTGAACTTTTTCTCAGTTTTTTGAAGATAACTCAGTGCTACAGAGATATTAAAGACCCTATATTACACTAAATGGACTCTTATGAACGTTTAGTCATGTTGGAATGTAGCTACCTCCACAGAAACAGATCTGGAGTTGTGTTTAGTTTCATTCACGCGATTGAATAACTCTGCTTCTCGAAAGCTCAAAACACTCTGTCACACCTCGTGTTAACTTGAAAATTGCCACTTTATGATAACAGCTACCTTTGACCTGTAGTTCAGTAGAGATTAGAACTTGACGATTCTAGTGACGGTGTTTGGAAGTTTTAAAACACAGTGGAGCACTTCATGTATTACCACCTAAGATCAGTGTTTTCTGTTTGAGAGAAGAAATCAGCTTCACTGTGAATGAAACAAAACACAACTCCAGGTCTGTTTGTGACGAGGAAACATTATAACAACATAATATGGGCCCTTTAACTATAAACCAGGTGAAAACATATATTTAAACAATTCTGCTGTAGATTTTCACCTGTTGCATGGCACAATTTTACTATAAACTTAGAATATTTAGTCATGTGAACCCAAGCGATACAATGATAAAGAAACACAACACAGATTAATCGATTTGTTGTTTTATTAAGAAACACATTATTCCAGATATAACAGTGAAAAATATGAAAATGTACACGTTTGCTGTACTATGCTTATGAAATAAACTACTCCCTCTCCTCTGTGTGGAGTTCTGTCTCTACTACGCCCCCGTGTGGTGGTTCGTGTCATCGCTGCTCTCCTGTCTTTTCCAGATCTGTATGAGGAGAAAAGAAATGACAAAAATTAAGCTTTGTTTGTGTTTTATACGAAAAAACACTACTGTCCAGATCCTGATAAACCAATAAATATGAACTAGTCACGTCGAAATGAATCACTTTTCCTGAGAGTTAGACATTGATTTGATGTTGTTTTGGTTCTATTTATTGCATGTATCTTTTATTTTACTAGTGGATTCTGTCTCTAGCACAACAATTATTCCAGTTTTTAAAATGAATTTAGAACATAGGTATATTTGGATTATGCACCATACTTTGAGACTATATTATACTATGTACTGGTGTCATAAAAGTATGGACAGTCACAGAATTCTAGGATTTTTCATTAATATCAAAAGTCAAATTTTGCAATAATATCAGATGTGTAATCGAATCTGTTGTTGTTCACACACTAATAATTCTTGGTTAAAACTTGTTTTTTCTAACAGAAGATCTCCAGTTCAAAGTCAGAGATATTTGGCTGGTATTTGTCAGGGAGCGTTACAATGGAGTATAAAAGAAAAGCTTCTCTAAAATCATTCACATAAAACACGTATGCGATCTAAGACAGTGTGAAGTGAACGTAGAGATTTGGACTCTGCTCTGAGAACCTCACCTGGATGTAGGCCTCTGACAGAGTGATCATCTGAGGCAGGATGTCTATCACCTGGAGGTCCTGCATCTCGTACCACTTCCCTGTGCCCTGAGAGGTCAGAGTTCACACACAGGTCATACAGAGGTCACATATAGAAAAAGCCTAATCAGAGTGGCCTTCCTAATGCATCTTCACATCTGTCCTACTGCCAGTGTTGGGGAGTAACAGATTACATGTACCGGGATTACGTAATCAGAGTACAAATTATGAGTAACTGTATTCAGTTACAGTTACTGTTTCAGTGAGTGGTAATTGGATTACAGTTACTTTGTTGAAATAAATGGATTACAGGGCGCTATTTTCTTGTTTTCACATTTTGGGCTAAACCAGGACTAAACCAGGACTAAAGCAAGACTAAAACAGGTCTAAACCAGGTCTAAACAATATGACGCTAACAGTAGGTGGACATAATTTAAGGCAGCAGTGATCTCATATAAAAATCATTTCTCTATCAATAATATTTTTTATATGCTTAAGTAAAGACTGGACTTTTTATTTCCTTTTAGCAGATAAAACACAACATCTTATCTTAAGACTTCCTGGTCTTTGCTTCTCTACAGTAAACAGTTGCTTATTCATGGAGACTTGGGCTCAACAGACAATTTGAAGAACAAACAAGAATTTTCAGGATGTGGTTAATACATTCATGTCGTTTAAAAAGCATGACAATATCAAGTAATCCAAAGTATTCAGATTACGTTACTCACCTTAATTAATTTAATTAATTACATTACAAACTACATTTTGGTGTATGTAATCTATAATCTGTGGGGAATACATTTTAAAAGTCACCTTCCCAACACTGCCTACTGCTCTGTTTTATCACACAGCCACTCTGTGTGGGCTCTGTGTGCAGCTCAAGTCACTGTCGAGTCATCCTTATAAAGATCTTTTATAGAGGGTTTTGACACACATGTTTAGACCAGAAGTTGTCACTTTCTAAATGATGTAATACTCTTTTCACGGCTCAAGCTTCTGCATGATTGGCATCAGCATAATGGTGGAAGCCACAGTTTAGTCTTTGACACCTTGTTGGCTGGTGTCATAATAACAATAAATAAACAGTAGAAAGAGGCACACCTCCATAATAACCCTAGATGATTATCTGGGGAAATTATCAGCAATAGTCTCAGTTATTTTTAATTAATTTCACGTTTGATTTGCTTGAGAGCTGTAGGAAACAGAAGATGACTGTTTGCGGTTGTTTGTGTGCTTCATTGTGACTGAGACTTAAGGAATCAGAAGTGGAGGAGTGAGCCAAACAGAAGTGGAGGGGACCTGTGAGAAACCTACATGGTGGAGGACGTGTATCCTGTAGGAGCCCTCAGTGGGTTTCCCATCATGCACCACGTTGGCCACCAGGTCGTAGGTGGTGTTCTTCTCTGTGGCCTGGGCCTCCTCTGTCAGGTACTCACGCAGGTCCACGTTCCTGAGGAGAACAAACATTTTTAAAGATTTTGTCTCCCTACATTGACGAAAAACACCATCATTTGTTCCATCATATTTAAATAAAGCATTCCTTCAAACTATGAAAAAATGTAAATGCTCTAAATCATTTGTTTCCTCCCCTTTCACAGATGGACAAGACCACACCATGTGACATAAAGATTCTTCTGGGCTCTTTAATGGAGAGTTCTATAGTGCTGCTACAGACCCTTAGGCACTAGGTCATGTGACACTGACTCACGTGATGGGGAAGTTGACGATTGTTGGGTTCTTTTCCACAAAGAAGTTGTTCTTGGTGAATCTTTTGATACAAAAGATGAGATAGGGAGGAAGCTTGGTCAACTGGAACCTCTTCAGGAAGTTCTCTTTGTATGTTTTGTATTCCTGACAACACAGAGACAAGAGTGTAAAACATCTTAAACTGCTCTTACACTTGGCACTTAAGATTAAATAATTCATGAAATGACATGTTTATTTTAAATATATAATAAGTATAGCTGAATAAACCTTTTCCTATAGTTACATTGTATGTGGGGTTCATAATCATGAACTACCAACAGGGCAGAGGTGAGTGAAGTAGACTAAATGTTTGCTCAGATAAGAGACCCATCATTATCTTAATAATTATGACTCAAGTACAGGTCCATGTAATCAAATTCAAGAACTTAAGAGAACAAATATTTGATGAAAACACACGTCAACTCATTTCATTTTTGTTAAACTCTATTTACTTCGGGTTTTTGTGTTCACACAAAAGACAGACAATTCTTGACAATTCTTACATAGTAGTTTGAAATAGTAAATGTACAGTAAGGAGGATGGTGAGGGAAACCTAAATGTAACAACCACTAATGCCTCTACATACAAGTGATTAGTGACAGTTCCTAGTGTTCCTGGTTGCATGTGTGCCGTCCCCGTGCCCCTCCTTGTGTGCTGTACCTTCTCAGTGTTGCCGTTGAACTTGCCCAGGATGTTGAAGAGGGGCACCTGCGGGATGATGAGCTGCTCCTTCTCGTCCTTGTAGAGAGGAGCTGTGGGCAGGTCCAGGGTCAGGAACAGGAACGTGGACTCAGACATCTTCTCCTGGTAGTCCTCTGTGTGCAGCAGGGCCTCCTTCTCCTCTGGAGTCTGAACACAACACAAACTAAATAATGCTGCCTCAATCATGCAAATACTGCAAAAGCTCCTCTGCAGTAGGGTAGTGAAAAATGACACTCAGTACTAGTACTCATAAGTGCACTGTTCATGTGTGTAAAATCCCTCAGTACTATTCATTTTAAATGATACTGCAAATACAAATATATTTGTAATATATAAATATTACTAGATCAGTAAAACCCCACTTGGTAGACATGAGGTTTATTTATCCAAAATGCTCATTTCAAAGTTGATTTTGAGAAGCATTTCATACAAAGCAGTAACATCTTCATAGATACGAGCAAAAGGTGGACCCTCCATCAGAAAAATATAGAGCACCTTTAAAATGTGTACTCTGAATTGAAGAGGTAAAAAAAAAAATCTACAGTATACATCCACATTCACAATATTTATCATTTACAACCCCACAGTCCCTGTGTGACTCACCAAATCTGGATGAGGGAGCTTTTTGGAGAAGATGCGCATAGAGCCCTGGAAGGCCTTTGTGATGATGGCTGTAAAATATGGTTACTACAGTTAAACAAACTGAATATATTATGTTCAAACAGCATTGTAGTAACTGTGCACTCACAGGATTTCTTCTTGGTTCCTCCCAGAGCTCCATGTAAAGCATTCAGGAACCACGTCATGAAGTCCACTGCATCTCCTGCACAACCCACAAGCAACAGTCAGAGAGTGATGAGCTACTGTACAAATGTGTAATAACAGTCACATCACAAATAAGGCATGTTTAAGAAGGCAAGAATTCAGTATTGATGGTTATCATTACGATGTTGTACGAGGTAAAACCTATAACATGAGACTTGGTGATGTGGTGGTTAAACTTCTTATCCTGCTGGTGTGAATGGTTCTTAATAGATACACCAGTTGTTTCTTACCCTGCTTGTAGGTGGTTCTTATCCTGATGTGGTTGACTCTTACCCTGCTTGGTGATCTGGAAGGTCTTCTTGCTGCAGAGGACCACAGCCTGGAGCATCTCGTGGGGGGACACGTGGGCCTTGAAGTTTCGGGGGTTCCACAGTTTCCTCATGAGCTCTCCAAACCTCTGCACCAGGAGGAACATGATGTCTCCTGGAGGCCGCCGGATGTCCCGGTAATTCTCCTCCTCCAAGAAGTAGTTCCTCAGAGGGGGCACATTTGAAAAGGCCTGGACACATCAAGGAAACAATGGCATTTGTGTTTTAGATTACTGAACATTCTATATGACTATGTTGTTAGATTAAGATGGGAGACCAGCAAATATGCTTCCAGAAATATTTTGTATTGATATTTCTTTAGTAATTTTGTAATAAAAATATCAAATATGTATGCAAGCTCCCCTCCCATCTGAGAGAGTGACATAAAGTCAATGTTAAACAACCCACTGGCCCATCAGGTGTATCCATAACAGGGCCGCACAGTAAGAGAAGATAAATGTAGTATCTGGCAACTAAAAAAGCTAAGTAATAACATAGTTATAGCAACACTATTTGACACAATACCTTCAGTTAAATTAAAACGACTAAAAAACTTTTTTTTTAATTAAATTCAATTCAGACTTAAAATTTTTAACCATGTTGTCTTAAAAATACATCCAGGTGGTATTTTGTTTCATTTACGTTCTCCTGAAGCTGATTAGATTTAAATATAAATTACAGGTAGCTTGCTCCTTCTTACCTGTAGCACTACATTGGCGTAGTCATTGGCCTTGATGTTGTTGAGTCCTACAATCCCTGGCAGATAGGTGGTGCCGTCATAGGCTCTGTACAGCTTTCCCTGTTTGTCCAGGCCTGCGATGTGCTGCTTTGCGAACGTAGGCTTCAGCACATACTGAAACACCACACAACAGACACAGGCTCATGTAGGGCTCGTGTAGGGCTCGTGTAGGGCTCGTGTAGGGCTCGTGTAGGGCTCGTGTAGGGCTCGTGTAGGGCTCATGTAAGGGCTGTGTGTAGACACTAGGGGGCAGTCTCACCGTGATATCCTCCAAAGAAGAGTCGATGATCTCGTAGTTGTCTGGGAGACAGTAGAACTTGAGTGTGTGCAGGTTGAGGAACACGTGATGGGTGAGCTGCACACTGTGGGTGTAAGCGTGGGACTTCAGGCCCCGCCCTGAAACACAGAACCAAGTGAAGGTGTGGGCTGGGGATCTATGGGTTTGTCATTATCTGATATAAACTGCAGTACAGGGCTGCAGTCCATTAAAGACATGCCCTGACGACTGATCATCTGGCTAAAGAGGAGAGTGGTGTGAAAAGCTTTCAGAACGTTTCAGTATGTGTACATGGTCTAACCATGTATCTGACTCTGATGTACTCACAAAACTACAGCTACACAGCCATTCACACAGAAACAAGTATTTATACAGAAAAGTACTAGGAAGCATAATCAACCAATGACTAAAGGCTGAAAATGGCTAAATACTGCATTGTCTGTCTAATGCAGTGATTCAAACATAAGGAGGGGGAGTCGAGACACAACTTGGGGTCCCCAAAGCTTTTTAAGATTTCCAAAACTTAGACTACTAGAATTATAATTAAGCAGTGCCATTTAAATCTATCAAAATACTGATTCAATGAAGCACCAATGAACACAGAATGGGTTATGTTATATAGCCTCCTTTTATATCTATCTGTACCCAGCTAAGGCTGACTGTCATCATTACACTGACTTCATTTCTTCTGACTGCTAAGAGGAGAAGCTCCCTACCATTTTTGTTTTGTAAAAGTAGCTCTCTGAGGGAAAAAAGGTGGAGAGCCCTTGTGTAAGTGGTCTTACATTAGAGGATGTGGTAAACATTAGACACTACATACAGGCTAGGTGTGACATGCCAATTTCCATTCAAGTTTATTTTATGAATTGACTTTGTGAGTTGACCAACCTTGAAAGTATTTCCCACATATAAGACACGCGTAAACATTTATGTGTGAGAGAGAGACGGAGCACAGCTTCTCAAAGTCGAAATCCAATACGCTCCTGCACACACATACAAGAGCTTAGAGCGTCCACTATATTTGCCACACAACAGCACTAAAGCCTGCAAGAGGCAGGTCTGTGGTGATCTGACCTGTTGATTGTGTCCAGGTACGGACAGTGGCGACTCCTGCGGTCTTCTGCCTGACGTCCTCGCCCAATTTTGGGAGCCACTGAAACAAAAGAGACAACAAAGAAAAGCCTTCACGACATATCAGAGAGAATACACCATGTGGTCTTACACTAGTTCTGAGAAAATTCAACATGAAATTGTTCAGGAAAGCTGATTTTTTTTACCCCTTGCTTCAATTAGTATCTAGTTTCGATATTAGTTTTAGTATTGATTAGTATCTGATTTTCAGTACTGTTGTAGGGTGACGAGATTTTCAAAATAAAAAAAACTGGGACATAAACAGAATAAAATTGTGAAACAAGTGCGTAATTAAGTAAAAGTGTTCTGCACTCTGCACTAATGTGAGTCAGTATAGTCACATTTTCTTTGTGTTTTGGACATTTTTAAGATGCTTTTCTGTATTTTACCTAAACAACTGACAATTTATGCCTTTTTACTGCTGGCAGTGATCAGATTGGCACTGGTTTTGGATAAATCTGCTGGGACAGGGGACACGGGGCTCAAAACTGAGACTGTCCCGGGTAAACATCTGGTCACCCTGTACTGTTGGCACCCCGAGGTTAGAACAGAAAGCATCATTTTGACTCTAGAATAGAAAATAAGTAAAACTTTGTATTATGAGGCAGGAGTTGCCAGACCCGTTCTCCCAGCACATACTGATGCAGTTTCACTCACAGTGTCTGATACATCGCTTTAACTTCTTGAGTTCTTTTTAAAGACAATGCAGTAAAGTGTGTTTACCTTGTTGACATGTTTCGGCTAGCAGCCGTGGCTCGGTGTGTGAATGATGAACACTTTTCTAACTGTGAATGAGTGAAAGCTTTGGATGTACTCAGTTACTCTGCAGAGGGAGATTTTTAAAGGGTGACTACTTTATTACATTAAATGTATAACGTACCACTCCCCAGACAAAGCATGTGCTAATGCTGCTTTTAAAATGTAAAATGAGTCTTCACACAAATGCAGTGAAAATAAAAACACGTTTCATGCCCTATGCTTTTACTCTTACGCATGCTAGCAACCGGCTAATTTAGCTTTAAACGTGTGTACAAAAGACATAAGGTCACCTTCATCGTCATTATCATCATCGTCCACGTCCACGTCTCTCTCTCGCTTCAGGGAAACCATGATCACGTTTAATTTGAGAGGTTTAAGAGAGAAAAACTGCTTTGTTTTGGAAGTATTGAATGAGTGAGTGCCTCCAGATCTGCGCCGGATGTGACGTCACTTCACCGAGTAAAATGGCGGCGTTAAAACTAGTCCGGAGTTATTTAAAATCTTGGATAGAGGTTTTGTGAAGTGAATTCTTCACATAATTTATCTGAATCGCATCAAATATTGTGTAACTGAGACTGGCGGCAAATCATAACATTTATAATACATTGTTCCATGTGTGGTTTTGTTAGTACTCGTTAGAAAGCGGTGCAGTAACTCCGGTTATACTTTGTTGGCCAGTGCTTTAGCACAGATTAGCCATGTAGCATTTGTGAGTGATAGTGAGGGCTGCACATTTGTTTGTTTTGATCTTCATGTGTTATTATAAAAATGGACATACTAAAAGACGATGAGCTCAAGTATAAACCCGGGGGCCGTTTGGACATGAGCCACGGCTTTCTGCACCATATTCGGAGGAACCAGATTGCCAGGTGAGAGACTAGTTACTAGTAAGTTTGATACATCTTATTGAATCTTTTTTTTTATTTTTTTTTTTTTATCAGATATAACCTTTTATTGTAAAAGTGTTTCAAAATAGTTTTAAATGAATTGTATGTAACAATCCTGCATATGTATGTTGTGAGTCAAGTTTATCCGTCTATAATATTTTTGCTTTAGTTGATACATGGTGTAGTTTAGTTTTAGTAAGAGTGGGCTAGTGCGGACTAGGGCCACCACATCTCTAGATTTTGCACAGATATAGATTAATATAGATGCAATCTATTTCGTAATATACATTTTGTGTTTACAATTTAAGAATTTAAGAAATCAGTGAAGGATTTGACATTCTATTTTCGTATTAGTCATTTATAATGCGTATTTGGTCTTACTTAGATGACACTAGGGATGTCAAAAGTATCGAAAATCATATACATATTCATACAAAGCTTAGTATCAAAACTAGATACTTTGAACAAGTACTGATATTTAAAAAGTCCCTTTGACAGGACAGAGCAGATTCTTTCCTGAACATCTTTAGAATGAGCTTGAGCTGTATCAGAAGTATAACACACATAGACTAGTATACACATATGGACCAACATGAACCTACTGCACCACTGACGATTACACACATATAACACACATGGGAATAGAAAAGAAAGTGCTACCATTTAATGTGGAAAATAACATTCTATTGTCTAAAGAAATTGCTTTTTATTATTATTATTATCATTGTGGTTTGGGAACTGGTATTGAGTTTAGAGTTCTCACAATGCTAGAATTTCAGATTACACTCAAGTTTGATTGTTGATGGAAAGATGTCTTTATTCTGTTGTAGTCTATATATTTAAAAAAAAAATGGCTTCACTAAAAAACAACAAAGATGAACTAGTCTAAAACTCATGTATTCTGTGTTTGTCTGACCTAATACCTTTTTGAAGATGTAGTAGAATACACTTCTCTCAATGATGTTCTAATTGTTCTTGTGCATTTGCTCCAGAGACGACTATGATAAGGAGGTGAAGCAGGCCAAAGAGCTGCAGAGGAGGAGACACACCACAGTGCCCAGACGCCCACGCAGACCGGACATTCAGGTCTACCATCCCAAACGCAGAGGTCAGAGCGACAAGCTAAACACGTCTTAGATAGATCAGTGTTATGGTGTACAGCCTCTAGCCACTTTACACTGTTCACCCACCATACCTGTAATTGGTATTTAAGTTATTAACATTCTCTAAACTTAATAAAGAGTACAACTTCTTCAAAAAAAATATTGCTTGAGTAATAATACAAAACAGTGGTCCAAGAAATGACTCTAGTAAAAGTCAAGTAAGACTAAAAGAGTATTTCAGATTCAGAAAACATTATTGATCCCAGAGGGCAGTTCATTTACGGCATTCTCAGAGCAGTTCTCATATGCACACAAACACACACAGAGTCAGTCCGTTACAGTCCACAAGTGGAACTCACTATACATATTACAGTGCAAAACTGACCGTAACATCTGATTTCTAATACTAGTCCATCTAAAAAAAATTCTAATATCATGAAAATGTTTAATATTTTTTGTCACTTAGCTAAACCAGTATATTATAAAGACTCATGACATATGAAGTTTGAGTGTTTCAAAGCTTCTGAAAAAGTTTTGAAATGAGCTTCTGAAATGAGTGACAAAAATATTGAACTTTTTCATGATATTCAAACTTTTTTAGATGGACTAGTATGTTATTATAAATTAAAGTAATTGGAAGTTATAAATAAAGACCAAAAATTAGCATAGATCAAAAATTGAGACCTGAAGGAGCAGCGCAAGAAACACAAGTTATTTCATGTCGCCAACAAAAAGCTTTTGTCACAGAGCAACCAAAACTTGAACTTAAAGCCATAGGATGTCATAGTATTTTTTTTTTTTTTTTTTTTTTTTTGATAAAAATACACTTCAGTAAAAGCATGTTCTTTCATTTTGTATTGCAAAAAAAAATGCATCTTTACTGTGAGTGGGCTTGCATATCCACAGACCTGACTCTTATTTGGCCTGGAGGAGAGCCTCATCTTGCTTGTTTCTGTGGAAATTTTATTTCTTTGGCTATAATCTTCCACAGTATGGTAGAGAATGATCCGAAGTATGGCTTTAGCTGTCTATTGTCATGGAATCATGCAGGTGACATGCCACTTCCAGACACGTCCATATTGTACCTTTTAAGAGGACTGTTATACTGTCACATCTGTTATTCCAGGAGTAAAAGTGTGGAGTCTGGAAACGATGACAAAGACCATGTTATTCACAAGTCACTGTGTGTGTGTTTGTAGATGGTTCGAGGGCAGATCCAGGAGGCGAGGCAGATGAGTGCAGCGACAGCTCTGGTTCACACGCGGAAGGGGAGGGGCCTCTGGAAGGCGAGGGGCCTGTGGAGGGGGAGGGGCCTGCTGAAGGAGAGGGGCCCACGGAGCTGTTCTGGCTGGACTATCAGGCCGACTGTGGAAGTGTGACCTCGGTCCTGGTGCACAAGGTCAGATACAGCGCCACATTCAAACTGCACAATTGTGTTACGTCACATACAGGCTCCTGGTGCTGGACGTTGCTGGATGGTCCAGGACTGACCACATGCTGAGGAGCATTTAGGAGACTTTAGGGGAGATAGATTACCGTATTTTCCGCACTATTAGGTGCTGTGGATTATAAGACACAGTGTCATTAAATGGTCTATTTTCAAACTTTTTTCACAAATAAACCGCACCGGACTTTAAAGGAAACACAACAGTGTGATGGGTGAGTGGTTTTGTTTGTTTGGTGCGTTCACGGTGACTCTGGGCTTTGTTCAGTTGTGGCGTGTAGGGAGGGTGCTGTCTGGGACCGCTGGATTGTCGGCGGAAGGTTTGTTCCTTCATTCCGTTCCTCGTCGGCGTGGAGTGATGAGTGTGTCTGTGGGCATTTTTGGCTGTGCAGTCGCTGTCTGCTCCGTGTGTGTTTGTGTGTTCTGCAGGTGGTGCGGTTTTGTAGTTTACTGAAGTCGTGCGGGGATACCGGAGTGGATTTGTGTATCGGGCGCTCTGGCTTGCGGGACACGCGGTCGTTTTTTGATGGGGTTGGAGGCTTTAGAGCGCGTCTAATAGCCCGGAAAATACGGTAGTACTGCCCTAGGCGAGTTCTATACTAAGTATTTTCAGACTGATAGTTGCTTCCACTTTACCACTGTAATAGATGGATAGAAGGAAATTCATTTTAATGATTTAATAAAAATAAAAAAACACTGCTCATACTGACAGAATTTGACTTTAGTGATGGGCGTAGGTCTCTGTCAGCCGAACACGAGCAGTTTGTGATTACACTGCATTGTAGGGGAAAAATGCTTTTTGGGCAGGAGGGATTTTTCTTCGATGTAGTGTCACAGAAAGGTCACTAGTCCAGCTCTAAACTAGCAATGCCTATTCAGTTATTTTTACAGATCCATAATGTTGGGCTAGTATGGAGCTAGTCCTACTACTTTTACATTACAAGTGATTCTTTTCTTAAAACTGTGAATTGTTTTGTTCTGTTTAGAGTAAACTCAAATGTGTTGTGTTCACCAGGAGGACAAACCAGAGAAGGTGGTGGAGCGCGTGGCACAGAAGAACATTTTAGACGAGGCCATGAGAGCAGCTCTGAGGGCCCGCGTCCAGAATGAGATGGACAAGAGACGGGACAAGTGCTGACAGTGGGCACACACAGGGGACACACACACCGAGGACACACACCGAGGACATGTCCAGACGAGCCCTGACAGTGGACACACATGTGGGATCATAGACTGCATATAGAAATGAACTAAGGAACGCCATCCTGGTCAGCTCCAGGCAAAACAAGGCGAATAGTTCCAGCAGATCATTTGGAGCCTATTTCTGTGTTTGAAAGTGGAAGTGTGCGATTCATGGAAACAAAGAGCCAATCAGGAGAGAGGTTGTTGAAGGTACAGGTGAGGTTGGGAAGGGTTCCCACTCACACAGCTGGTTTGTCAGGGGGCTGTCAATCAAACCTACTGTTAACACCAGCAGGAGCCAACCTCAGGGACAGACGGCCCCTGATTGGTCCGTCAGCAGAGGTCACAGAGAGAGGGCTCTGAGTTATCGGTAGAAAGTGAACTGAAGCTAGAGTCTATGGTTATAGGCAGAGGAAACGGACAGGAGACGAGACAAGACCTGACGGTGGGCACACGTGAGGACAGAGGACATGTCCAAAAGTCTGTGTGTCTCTGTGTCTGTGTGTGTCTCTGTGTCTGTGTGTATGTGTGTGTCTGTGTGTGTGTGTGTCTGTGTGTGTATGTCTGTGTCTGTGTGTGTGTGTGTGTTGGAGGGTGGAAGTGTGGGACTGTTTCCTGGAGCTGCTGAGGGGACAGGGTACAAAAGGGACATGTTTTGGACAAGGACAGTCATGTGGACACAGCCTGTCATACGCCACATGTTTAAAGACAGTGTGTAACTTTTCTGATGTAGAGTCTGACACCTGGTTCTTTCCTCTAGGATGAATGTTCCACAGTGTAGTATTTAACTTCTGTATTCATGGAGCCATCAGATCAAATCACAGGTCAGATCTGTGGAGAGGCGAGCCCACTCTCAGTTAAAATGCATGAAAATGAATATAAACAATGTAGGTACGTTTAAAAGTCCAATATGACAATATTTTCTGATCTGTTCTAATGTCGTTTCCTCAGCACAGACAGACCTGGACTTGTGTTTTGTTTCACATGTTTAACACACAAACCTGCACATTTAGCACGAGTTCTTCTCTCACACAAAGGTACACTGTTCCACCTTGTGATGTCATGTGGAAATAAAGGAAGTGCTGTACTGTGTTTTTAAACTCCACATACCTTCACTAGAATCATCTGGATGGAATAGCCAATTTCTACTGACCTAAAGGAGCTGTTTACTTGAAAACTACCACTTCATGACATCACAAGGTGGAACAGAGCATTGGAGTTTTGGATATGTAAACAGACTAATAAAAAAGAGTTACTCAAGCATGTGTGAATGAAACAAAACACAACTCCAGGTCTGTTTTTGAGGAGACCCCATGTTATAACATGACTTAAAGCTCACAGGAGTCAATGTGTAATAAGATCTTTAATGTCATTGCACTTCAGTCACATCATCATGGAGACAAGCTGTTGACAGATCCTCATCAGACAAGTTCTGTAGTGCACCTTATTGAAAGTACAGCAAGGACCACAGGAGTCGAGTGGGCTTGTCTTTAAGGAAAATGAGAACTTAATTTCAATGAAACATCTTCCACCTGAGGGATGTGGCCAAATATTTAGCCATACTGTATACAGGCAAAGCCAGATAAAAGTACTGTTATGGAAGGGCATCTGGCTTAAACTTGAGCCAAAGTTCTCACAAGAAGGGTTTTGTTACTCTACATTTTTGCCAGAATATATATTCTCTGAATATATATTATCCCGTAACTGTGAACAATAGTGTGAGATTGTTTCATTTTATACATGTTATAATCTCTGAGCCAAACGAGTCTGCGTGTCCATAAACCATGTACACTTTTACTTTGTTTAGTTGTCACTACAACTGTCCCCAGGTTTAGCTAATCTTGATTTGGCTCATTGGGCTAAGCTTTCACCCACCAACCAGAGGGTAACCAGTTCAAACTTCAGCCAAGAAAAGTGCTAACTGTTTCAAAGAAATATCTCCTCCACGTTGCCCGTGCCACAGTAAAGTACATCAGGACTGTATCGTTTCAAGTGTTGGTTACATTTTGTGTTGTAGAATTTTTGCAGTAGTTTTTTATTGTCTGTAAAGGTGTGTTTTTTCATATATTTATTTGGTGCTTTCTAAATCCTTTGTATTTTTGATACAGTTATTTCCATGTAAAATGGATTGTGCACAAAAACACTTGTCTGCAGCCATATCTGCACTGTAAATAAACATGTCTACACCAGCTCACATGGAGTTCAAATGGATGAAAAATATTGATCCGGTAGAGAAGTTCTGATGATAATTTTCACCAAGATAATATGACGATCCAACTCAAGTATAATTGCTCACATACTTAAAGGTGCTGTACCTGTTTTTCACAGGCTTCAACACATGAAAAACAGTTTCAAATTTGAATTTGTTTGCAGAGGTCTAAAGTTCTTCCTCACTTACTTTATGCATTCAGAGCATCCTAATTATTCACTACGATGAGTTTATGAGCGTTTTCACAGCTTTCAAACTCCAGGGGTCAAAAGTTTTAGAACACCCTCGTTTTTTTCTGTTATTTATTGCAAATCAAGTCGTGTAAGTCCAATGAGTCACTTGAAATGGTACAAAGGTAAAAACTGAACAGACAGAGGTTAAAAAAAGACAAAAGAACAAAACACAAGTCCAAGCTCTGCCAAAACCACTTCAGGAAAAAAGAACAAGATGATAAAACTTGAAACCCTGGAGTGTCCAGCAGCACAGTGTCCAGACTTAAACTCCATGGAACTGGTTTTGGATGAACTGGACAGAAGAGTGAAGCAACCTACAAGTGCCACACATTTATGGAAACTTCTGCAACAGACTTGGGAAGAACTTTCTGAACAATATTTGATTTGTGTTGTAAAAAGAACGAGCCACGAGTGTGTTCAGCTGTTCTATCTGACAAAGGTCGACACACACGTCAATCAAAAGTTTAGAATACGAAAACTGGAAACGGTTTATAACCCATGCGTACATATATGCGTACATGACTTTCTACTTTAAGTTTGTGATCTGTAAAAAGACAACTAAATAAACTATTCAAATGAGCTGTTACTTCTGTGCTCAGAAACATGACAAGTGATCGACTGTGTGTTTTGTTCGTAATTCTGATCTGTAATTGAATATATGAAAGATAAATAAGTGACCCTCCCGTCAGAAATGTTACACGCCACAGTTACACCCTTATCATCAGAAGGCCCACTAGTCAGAAAGCCCACTAGTCAGAAGGCCCACTAGTCAGAAGGCCCTGTAGTGAGAAGACCCACTAGTCAGAAAATCATTCCCTCTTCTATTGGTTTGTCAGCAACATTTCTCTTGAACAATTGAATGTATATTTGATGAAAGCAACAGGGAATAATCCCTGGATATCAGGGAAGAATTAGTAAACTTTTGGATGTTTACCAATTCAAAATGGCTGCAATATCAACATTTTTAGAGATATTGACAGGAAAACACATAATCATGCATAACATCATTACCTAAGGCCCTGCATTACTTCATTTGTTGGTTTACAAACCCACCAATGCTATATTAAAAGAAAAAGATTTTAAATAAAATTTAAATGAAGGTTGTAGAGCTCGAATTACTGAACATTTTGCAAGTTGTTGCCTGAAAATCAGACAATTATTAACACTGTTCCACTTAAGACGCCATTTCCACCCAAATCATTATTTCCTCAAATATTTTTGCTGTATTTTAAGGGTTTAATATATTTATTACCTTTAATATTTACTTTTTAAAATATTTAAAACTTAAAATACAATTTCATTTGTAACAATTTGTAACACTACCTGAACATGGATTTTCTGACTAGAGGCTCTTCTGATGATAAAGGCTGAGCCCACACGCCACACCTTTAACTTCAAATTTTTGTGTTAAAAAGAAATGCAAAAACTCTAATCATGATAATCAGATGTATAGAATTAAGGACTCATTCTATGTCAGTTGTATAGTTCTCCCCTTTGTCCAGCAGGTGTCAGTGTGATTTCAAAAACTGACCAATCCATGGGCTTTAGAAGGATGAAACAGTAGGACCATTGCCATAGTGAGACACAATTTAAAACTAAATATTTTATCTTTTAGATGGGAAAAGGCAGGTTGCACCAAATGTTGAATATAGCAGGACGCTGAAACCCATGAACAGAGACTTTAAAGGAAATAAACTCATAAACACGACCTAGATACAAGGTGAACATGTTCAAATCCAGTTTGGGTTGCTAGCCGCTTAATGCTGAAATCCAGTTTGTTTAAACCTAAAATGTCTCTCTGCTCTGAATGGTCACTCCCTAATCCCCAGCACCAGTCATGAGTCAGTGCTAGTGCAGCCTCTGCAGCTCAGGGAGGGAATAGAGGTTCTGAGCTTCACACGAGGCCTGAACATAAACAGAGAATGAGAAAAACTTGGATGTGATTGGACTAAAGTGATGGGGAGGAGGGGCGGGGTGATCTTGGAAACACAAAGACAGATCCGTTCAAAAGCAGTGGTAAACACACAAACAATGACAATAACAAACATTTACATAACTTGATTCTCTTTGCCGATTCATTGGAATGTTTTGTGTTGTTGTGTCAGAGACTTATTATTTGATACAATATGTTGTTTCGAGTTGGCAGCAACATTTCTTATGAAAATCTCTCTCAGACTGTCACCACACTTTCCTCCAGTCCCAGACAGACTCCTGTGACTGTGACCTAAACTCAGAGTCCAACACTTTCACACCAGTTTCTGAGTTGAAATTCTGACCCAAGTTGTGTTCATTCACATTTTTCCAAGTCGAAGGTCGATCTTCTGAGTTTTCAAGATCTCATGAATGCAGCATCATGGCAGTCATGTGTGATGTCACTAACTACTGGAAACAGCAGAGGTCACTGAAGGCAGCACCACGATGAGTTTATGAGCATTTTCACAGCTTTCAAACTCCAGGGGTCAAAAGTTTTAGAACACCCTCGTTTTTTCAATTATTTATTGCAATTCAAGTCGTGTAAGTCCAATGAGTCACTTGAAATGGTACAAAGGTAAAAACTGAACAGGCAGAGGTTAAAAAAAAGACAAAACACAAGTCCAAGCTCTGCCAAAATGACCTCAGGAAAAAAGAACAAGATGGTAAAGTTTGAAAACCTGGAGTGTCCAGCAGCACAGTGTCCAGACTTAAAGCCCATGGAGCTGGTTTTAGATGAACTGGACAGAAGAGTGAAGCAACCTACAAGTGCCACACATTTATGGAAACTTCTGCAACAGACTTGGGAAGAACTTTCTCAACAATATTTGATTTGTGTTGTAAAAAGTACAAGCCACGAGTGTGTTCAGCTGTTCTATCTGACAAAGGTCGACACACACATCAACACTTTTGCACCAGTTTCTGAGTTGAACTTCTGACCCGAGTTGAGTTCATTCACATTTTTAAAAGTCGAAGGTCCATCTTCTTAGTTTTCAAGATCTCATGAATGCAGCATTAAGGCAGTCATGTGTGATGTCACTAACTACTGGAAACAGCAGAGGTCACTGAAGGCAGTACAAACTTAGATTTAGATGTTTTTGAACAAAGTTACATGTATATAGTTTACACTAAAGATGCCAAAAAATGCCTAGGAACAGTAGATCATACTTTAAAACACCATATGTACAGTTTAGTAGGAAAAAGTGGATTTAGTTTTTAATTCCTGTGAACAGGTTCACCTCAGGAGCTCACAGGAGTTTGGAGTGACAGCCCTTATATGCACTTTATATACACTTTATATACACTTTATATGCACTTTATATACACTTTATATACACTTTATATACACTTTATATACACTTTATATACACTTTATATGCACTTTATATGCACTTTATATACACTTTATATGCACTTTATATGCACTTTATATACACTTTATATGCACTTTATATACACTTTATATACACTTTATATGCACTTTATATGCACTTTATATCACTTTATATACACTTTATAACACTTTATATACACTTTATATGCACTTTATATGCACTTTATATACACTTTATATGCACTTTATATGCACTTTATATACACTTTATATGCACTTTATATGCACTTTATATGCACTTTATATACACTTTATATGCACTTTATATGCACTTTATATACACTTTATATGCACTTTATATACACTTTATATGCACTTTATATGCACTTTATATGCACTTTATATACACTTTATATGCACTTTATATACACTTTATATACACTTTATATACACTTTATATACACTTTATATGCACTTTATATGCACTTTATATACACTTTATATGCACTTTATATGCACTTTATATACACTTTATATGCACTTTATATGCACTTTATATACACTTTATATGCACTTTATATGCACTTTATATGCACTTTATATACACTTTATATACACTTTATATGCACTTTATATACACTTTATATACACTTTATATGCACTTTATATACACTTTATATACACTTTATATGCACTTTATATACACTTTATATGCACTTTATATGCACTTTATATACACTTTATATGCACTTTATATGCACTTTATATGCACTTTGTATACACTTTATATACACTTTATATGCACTTTATATACACTTTATATGCACTTTATATGCACTTTATATGCACTTTATATACACTTTATATGCACTTTATATGCACTTTATATGCACTTTATATACACTTTATATACACTTTATATGCACTTTATATACACTTTATATACACTTTATATATACTTTATATGCACTTTAGGCTTTTGTCTCTGATGAATATGACATGTTTTATTCAGTTTAAAGGTCTGGGCACATTTCCAAAGCTTAAAATGCTCTCTTCCACCTTGTGATAACATGAAGCTGTACTTTTTAAGGTAACAGCTCCGTTTAGCTGGATATCTCTCCTTTGGAGATTATCTAAATGATTCTAGTGAAGGTCTATGAAGTTTAAGAACACAGTGGAGCAGTTCCTGTATTACCACATGACATCACAAGGTGGAACTGTCTGAGAGAAGAGCCTAAATGTGCAGGGTTTGTGTGTTAAACATGTGTGAATGAAACAAAACACAAGTCCAGGTGTGTTTATGATGAGGAAACAACATTAGAATAGAGTCACTGACAAAAGCATGAAGTGCACATAAGAAGTATATAAGGTGCATATATAAATATATAAGGGCTGTTCCCCCAGGCTCCTGTGAGAGCTCTTGAGGTGAGCTTGTCCTCAGGATGTGATCCGTCCTGACAGGCCGCTTCATCTCACCTGAGATCACTGAATGGCCCCGCCTCAGAGCTCCGGGGCTCTCGCTCACTCTCACTGTGTGAAAGGGGACTATTCATTAAAGCATTTTAATTATGAGCGGCAACCATCAACACGTCTACTCTGAGCAGCTGTGAGGAAGTCCCAGTTTCACCTTCAGAAGTTCTCACAAAGAGGGCAGAGTACCATCACAGTTCAAGTAAAAGTACAAAGTGGTCAGAGAAAAAGTATGAGTAATGAGAATTCTGGATGTAACATCTAATTTACAAATAAAAAGTCAATGTAATTTAAAGGGCAAGGACTGAATCAAATATATTGATAAGCAGGAGAACATAACCCTCTGAGTACTTTAAAGTACAGCTCTATCCCACACTGGGTGCTTCAGTCCTCACTACTGTTTACTGCTGTTGTGTCCTTGGTTAAGTGCAGAATTTACTACAAAGTCACTATTTACTATAAATCTGAACTGTTCAACATGACTCTTTCATTAAAGGTGCACTGTGTCACTTATCTGGTGGGGTCATTTACACAAGAAAATGTTTAATGCTCCAAAAACCTTGGATAAACATTCTTCCTGAGAGCGGCCGCCTCTCTGCAGATCTGACCTGTAAACCGGCCTGGTGGAGCCACCAACTTATCTCCATGGAGATAGATTTGAAATAGGTTAGGTTTGAAATATTCCAAGTAAAGTAAAGATCTTGATGGAGACAAGCAGGTGGTAGATCTACTCAGGTTCAGTAGGTCGTCTGCTACTTTTATTTAAAAGATTACAGGAAGTAAGTTACATGTTGTGCCTTTAAAAGGCATACATTATGACATTGGCTCATAGTCAG